GAAGAGAAGTACAATGGCAATCGCAACGCAAAGAAAAGCATCACCATGAAACGAGTGAGAAAGGCTTTGCAAGATGCTTTCGATGCCCTAGCTCTAACTCAAAATGAATAAGTAAATTATTTCTAAAATTTACAAATAACGCATAAATTTATGTTATATGGATGTATGTAGATTTATGCAGAAGTTCCGCGTCTCCAAAGTGCGTTTTCATTACGTCCTTCAAAAAATTGATATGTGTGTTGTTATGAGGAGTACATATATATAGTCCTTGTTGCGCTTAGTCATGACTTGAGTTGGTTACTTCAGGAGGTTACCAATGGCTTGCCTGCAGCGACCACACTTTTTGTTTAACAATAAAAGAAAAATGCAAAGAACAACGAAATCCATTACAAGACGAGGAACACTGTGGAAAGATGCATTGTTGTGTACAAGGATCGGTATGAAGATAGTATTTAGTGTTTTCAAACTCTAGCTACAGTTTTTGAACATTTCTCTAGGTCGCTGGCGTACCCTATAGAAAAAGCAAAAGAGTTGTTACAGCCCAGAGAAGCTGTAATGAAATCGGAAACATATGTGCGACGCTGCACAACATTTGCGTCCAGTACAAAGTGGAGGCAGACCGGTCTAATACTCCACCACTCCACGAGCAACCTATGTAGACAATGCTGTTGATGTTTGTGTGAAAGCACCTTAATTGACTTGAGTGAACAAATTAGAGATTGCTGGCACGAAATTTGTAAACATAACAATCTTAAAAACATAAATAACTTTTAAACTTGGAACTCGAACAAAAATTTACATAAAAATTAAATAAATACTGAAAGTGAAATTTTTATTTACTGTATTTTCTTTTTATTTGCATATATATGAGCATAAGAGAGCAAAAGGTTTGACGTACAGGTATGGAAGCGAAAATTTAGTTTAATGAATTGGTCGCCAAAAAATATATCATAACAGGAACGGTTAGCATTCATTTTTATGGAGAATCTGTAAGAAAACAATATATAATAATTAACTTTTCCTACAATAAAAAGCTTAAATATTTCAACATTGGATTTAATTTCATTACCTGTTTGCACTTGTCAAATTCAACATAATTTTCTACTCATCTCATTTTATACGCTTCTTATTGTTTACCACATGTAGTTTATTTATATAAAACAAACATACATCAATTTGGTCCTCATTTTTTACAAAGTATTGGTAAGCTGACGACAATGGTATATGATTAGTCTCTTGGCGATAATCAATTGTCTCCAAAAAAAAAAAAAAACAAGTCGACAATTACGATAACAATCTCCTGCTTACATGATTACTCCCCAGAGTTGTATGTTATGTGTGATAAGCAAAATCGTTTTAATTGAATATTTTAGTTTATATAAAGTTACATAGAGATTTTTATTGTTTTTTACTTGCTACGTACGTATGACAGGATGATAAATGTATTATAACGAAAACGTGCTTCTTGGTGATTTTACTTTCCTGAATCCACTCCTTTGTATTAATTTCATTTTCCGCTAAATGCTCTCCTAAGTGTTGTTAGTCTTTTCGTCAAACGCCAGCTGCATGAGGCTGGTAACGTGTACTTGGTCTTACTTATCATGTCTTAAAATTTCCTTTCTTAGAAAATCGACAAATCATCAAATGTTGAATTTTCGTAACAGTATTTTAAAGCTCTTATATAAATCGATTGAAATATAGCACACAATGAGGTATGGACGATGGACTACGTGCGTTAGGTTAATTTCACGCCAGTATCAATTTTCGCAACTTATTGATTTTGGAGGTCTTGTTATCTATATCTCTGTAGTACGTTGTATTATACCCATAACCGAAGGATGAGAGCTGGCCTAAGAGTCTTCTAATATTGCGCAGATAATGAAAATACCACATTTAAACAATTTAACAACAATTAAGCTTTTTATCCTTAGTGGCTGCGTGGATTGCATAAGCGTCAATAAATAAATAAAAAAACGCCCATTTTCAATACCAATTTTCGTGAAAGAACTTCCACTATTTCCGCCAATTTTGAGGTCGATCGCTCCATTTTGCGGCCAGTACAATGTTTAAAATAAACATTACACAGACGGACAGACGGACAGACAGCAAGCAGGGCGTGCTTAAATCGAATTAAAATTTGATGCCGATCAACAATATATATACTTTGTAGCGTCGCTGCTTCTTACTTCTGGGCGTTGCAAACGTTTTCACATAATGAATATATTCCTCGTCCTTCGACGGGGGGTATAAAAACCCTATAGCGGAACAAGACGCACCATTAAATACTTTAAAGCACTTCATATAACAACTTTTGAAAATAAAGCATTATGTGAGGAGAGGTCGAAAAAGTGGTTCGACCCGGACAATTTTCGATTACGTTCATCCTCAGATTAAAACATACGGGGCTAGCAAATATCATCAGAATATCTCAAAAATTGCAATTGGTAGGTTGAACACAAGAAAGCAAGACGAGCAGACGCTTAAATAGGCTTGGATCGATTCGGATAGTAAGTCAGAGGCGATCGTTGTAACACAAGTGCTGTAGGACATAATACTTCATTTTTTCACTGGTATTTCGTATTCTATTTAAATTAATTTCAACAAATTGTTATTAAAATTAAATAAATACTATGATAAACCGCCTGAACCGCTCGTGAAAGCATCCATCTTTTCAATGACATTAGAATGTGTGTGCAGAGCAAAGCGTTTAATTTACGTTCTCTCTTGAAAGTACTGCAAGTACTTTTTATAACATCAAAACTGTCAAAATACCTGTGGAGAAGAGAAATGTTTTTTTTTTTTTAATGTCATGAGATGACGATAGTCGTATATTATGAAAATTCTTTTCCCTGAGACTCAAAATTTACGACATATCCAGTCGGCGACGTTTTCACACGATATTAACTGACGCCGAAATACCGGCAAACACGAACCTAGTCCGGTGCCAGAAACAATGATGCAGTCGATGCGGCGTTCACCTGAAGCAGCTGCTAAGGGAAATAAAATTGCCAGGCATGTTCCTCATTCTTCACGGTTCTTAAAACTTAGTTTTTTTACAGAATTACGGAAAATTGCGTTACACGAAGTCTTCTGTAAGAGATGACCGTAGCCATCGGCCATTCTTCCGTTTGTGAATGCGTTTTCCACGAAATGTTGTTCGTTAGAAAGCAATCGTAAATATAGTAAACTTCGAACTGCTTCAGTTGGATTAAGAGACATTTTCCTTGAATATGTCCGAGATCTCTGATCTGAGAGATTAAGTCTTCAAAGACATTAAATTATCTCTAATATTTTATCACGTTTATCGACGATATTTCGTAATTGTTAGGAATACTTTATATAGGAACATTGATGATGATGTCTGAATTTTCCTGAAACGAAAGCAAAAAGGAGAAAGCTTAAAAGCAAATTGGTCTCTTAAAATGACGGCAATATATTCTTCAAAGTTGTTAAGCGCCAAGAATTAAAACAAGTAAGAAAGTTCTATTCGACTGGGTACAAATCTCGCATACTCTTCGCACGTCGAAACGTCCCATCATATCCTGTACGAACGTGCGGCTATCTGTGTTTGGCGTACATTCCTTAACGCCGAACACCGCACGCTGCTTCTGATCTAAGAAGGTGGCAGTGTGCTTAAGAATATATGCATTTGTAATTACATTTGCAGTTGCAATTAAACTAAAAGGTGGAAATAAATCTTATCCCAGTCACTTTTCTGTAACTATACATAAGAGTAGGACATGATCAAGATTATTCCCCAGCCGAATATAACTTTCTTGCCAAACACAAAGGAATTCATATCATTTTCGTCAAAGTCATATCAGAGATGTATTTTTAATCTTGGTAGGCAAGAGAGAGAGAGAGAGAGAGAGAGAGAGAGAGAGAGAGAGAGTCTTTGGCTGATTTCTTTACAAATTTTCAAAATGTTTTTGATATATTTAATTGGAAGAGTAGCAAGAAAATGAAACTAGTTCCCTAAGAGCTCGAACAGTCGGCCAAATGACACGTTATTTTCGAACAGTTAAACTTAATAACTAAGTAGAGTATCACTAATTGTACAGATTTCGCACCTGGATGACAAATTGTCCTACCCTCACGCAGACTCTTTTGATAGCTATATCGATTTGAAAGTATTCTATGCCGGAATCATTCTAAAGATGTGTATTTAGCTCACCATTACTTTCACAGAAAAATTGAATCAGAGTCTTTGTGGGTTTTTTTCCGTGCTTTCTGTTAAATGAAATGATTTTAGAATAAATTAATCTTTCTTGCCGCATCTATTTAATCTTCCATTATAACGTGTGCTGTCAACAATTTCTATATTTCGATATGTCAACGTACATCAACAAGCCTATCAGTTGTAGTCAATTCGATAAATGCGGCAATGAAGGCCAAATAAAAAGATTTGAATAATCGTCGCCATCTCATACATGTGCCCGAGCGAAGAATCCAGTGCACCCGCGAAATAGTGCGACCCTAGAGAAGAGATTTCATGTTAATGGGAGTTTCATCCAGCTGGTTGCTTATGTGTGTGTGTGTGTGTGTGTGTGTGTGTGTGTTTATGTGTACGTCTCTGTCTCCAAGCGAAGGAATAAATCATTTCCATATATCAAGTAAATCAATTAACTTGTTTAGACAATGTTACAGAGTGCAACACCTATAGAACTTTTTAAATTCTTCAAATACTGGATTTTTTTACAATGTGTGCATGCAGTTCAATTTAAACGCAATTGATACGTAAGTTGAGGCTATCGATATCGATAATTAACTCAAAAATGACGCGGTTTTGAATTTCATAAACAACTTTATTTCTGTTTGTCATGAAACTATGGAATCTGTAAATATATATAGCATACAAACAGTGTAAACACACCCACATACGAAAATACACTCCTACAAGAGTGTCAAGATACTCAACACAGAGCCGGTACATTAACTTTGTCAAATGTTTGTACGCATCACGCACAAGATAAACTACAAAAATTGCATAACTAATTTACCTGCATCCGCCTGATACTTGTCCTGCATCTTTTCAAATCACAAAATATGATTTTGAATTTCAAGTTTGTCATTGGCCGGATATTTCGTAAATTCAGCCCTAATTAGTACAAATCTGTAAATATGGGCGTGCCTATGTTATGTTTTTGATATGTTACATTACTTAAGCTCTTATGAAATGATCGAAGCTTGTCTAATAAACGTTACCAGTACTGAACTGACTGATGTCACTCAGTTTCTTGCCGTGTCCGCCGAATACCATTCTGGATACACTGGATGACCCAACATATGACCGCCATTCTTATGACGATAACCAAAATATCTAAAATGGTAGGGTGCAGAGCCTTCGGAGAGCAGACATCGCTTTAGTGTGGAACTGAAAAACATTTAACAGCTAACAACAAAAAGTACTTTGACTCACTACCGTATTTTATTTATGGATGTAATAAAATTTAAGAATGAGTATAAACAGACTTTCGTGATTAAAACAGAAAAAAAAGAGAAGAAGAGAGCATTAAACTAAAGCTCCCGCGGAAATCTTGCATTTAATTATATAGTTTAGAAATTTTTACAAAAATTTTATATATATATATATATATATATTTATATATATGTAACGAAACAAATAGTAGCGGGTTTATGATGCTGCTTAAACGGTATATAAATATTTTCTTGTGTTATTATTATTATTATTATTATTATGTTTTTCTATTTTTTCCACATACTTTTTGTGTGGATGTATATGCACTGAAACGAAATGGACTGAATGCACTTATTGTTGCTGCCTACTTTCCTTCTTATTCCTTACTTACGAAGCATTATTATTAGTTTGCATACCATGTCAATTGAAGTGGGTGTTAACGTATTGTTGACAGTTTAATTAGTATTTATTGCTGCTTGAAATAATTTAAAGATTCTTGTAAAACATTTTCACCTCATAGTTTAGTCTCTCTTATATAAATCATTTATTCGCCTTAAGATGTATATCGTCTGTATGTATATTGGAATGCAATGTAATAGCACAACACGGCAGCGAGATATAAAATTTAAAAGAAAAACTTCAGTCTTCTTTTCATTTTCTTGGTTTTTTTTCCCCCAAATAGTTTCCGTTGATCGCGGATTTTCAAGGTAAGTCATTTGGAAAAAATTTAAAAAAAAAAAAAAGAAAAAAAAATAATATTGTATATACAACCTGCTGGACAAACAACTTGTATATGAGTGTCTTTAGACCATGCATCTCATGCATTTGGCATATGTCCTGAGATAATATGCCAATATACTAACCAGTGAAATTTCATCATTCCATTTGTAAGCAACATTGTTGGAACTTGACACAGTTTTTATGGTACCAGCTATTATCTAACCTAGCGAGCGTAATTCAGCCTCCTCCGCCTTCTTTTCTTTTGAAAAGAATACGAATTTTTATACCCAAAACGTTCGCAACGCCCAGAAGAAGGTGTCAGAGACCCAACAAAATGTACATATTCTTGCTCAGCATCAAATTCTAAATCTATTTAACCATGCCCTGCATGTCTGTCCGTCTAACTACCGGTGTAATATTTGTTATAAGCATTCTCCTGGCCGCAAAAATGAAGCTATTGACTTAAAATTTGACAGAAATGTTAAAAGTTCCCGCATACAGGTTGGTATTGAAAATGGACAAAATCGGTCGAAAGACGCGGCCACAGCACCGCGTAAACCGGTAGCAACTATGTTTTTCAAAGGGAATGAAAAATTGGTTTTTTCCTTATTACTTATAAAGCGTAGCAAATAAATGCATAAAAATTTGATTGAATATTCTATGGGCGATGCTGTAGAATCTGTGCGGAAAAATGCAAAAAATTAACCACGCCTACCCAATATTATGGTGTATCACAATTTAATCATCTTTTCAATACCTTCATAAAACGCAGGAACAAGCCTCAAAAACTCCACAAAGGATGCAAATTCTTAATTAGTTTCAAAATTGGAATACACCCAAACATGTCCGCCTGTTCGTCTGTCCATCTGTCCATCTGTCTGTTTGCGTAACTTAGTAGCATTTGTGATAAACATTCTCCCGTCAGCGAAAATGCAAATATACCTAAGCTTTTCAAAGGGCACGCCTAAAATGCCCAGATGCCTCTACAACAAATCCTTATTTTTTGAAAATAGAAGAAATCAACTATTGTAAAAACTGAGGCTGCGAGGAGTAGACGACGTTTGCATTTCTTTTCTTTCAACTTTCCTCTGTACGTCTTTAAAAAAAAAAAGAACAAAAAAATTATTTCTTCGGTACACCGCGTTGACCTTGTGAATAATTTTTATGTCTCGCCTGGTTAAGAGATAGTCCCTGAACTCCGGGACGAGTTATAGAGGAATGTTTAAGAAAAGAGAGCGAGCGTCTGGGCTGTGTGAGGTGTACGTAAGCTTTACAGTGTCTTCCAAAGGGAAGAAAAATTTTGGAACATTAATTTATTTGGGGGAAGAAAACAAAAGTCAAATAAAAATTAAACAAAGAAATAGAAAAGGACAGGACACCAGTTGTGAATGAGGCGAATATATTACATTTTAAAATTAAATAACAAAGCAATTCCCGGGTAATTCTAATTCAAGAAATCTGGATAAAACTGTAAGGCGAGTCAGATTAACGGTTTATTTATTTCTATGCTAATCAAAATTTGCGTTATTTCTTATCAAGAAATGCGCATTTGTCGTCCATCACATCAACCCCCCAGCAAGGATATGGATGTGGGGTGCGTTTAATCTTATTGTTCATTGACTTTTGTTTGTCGTTGAATGTGTAAAATTTAAATATTTAATCACATAACCTGTTTGAATTACCCATGTAATTAAATTAAATATTATAAATATTATAAATTACACGCTGCTGGTGTAATAATCCTTTCAATTGCTTTCATTGTTTGTTCTCTGAACTACTTATCATTTTATTCGATTTTGGTATGTTTACCCGAATCGGCCGTCAGAATGGTGTCGCCGGTGGTGGAACCACACAAAAGCCCAGGTACCCTACAATGCACCAAAAATATAGTTGAACTTTTTCGATCGTGTACGTGTGATCCCATCATCACAGTCCGATAGCTCCGTCTACGCCAATATTGTCCGTGGTTCTTCTTATGTTTAATGCAAGTTGTCTGCATTAATGTTTAATAAAAAAAATTCTTAGCTATCCATTTTCTGTCCCCCTCTTATCGTGCATGAATTCGAAATAGTTGAAAGAACAAATGCATACGTCCCAAGGATCACATCCCAATTGTCGCAATTGCCCACGAGGATAAGTCGGCGGGGTGGTGCGTGCGCTACTCCAAGCGTTTGATCGTACATCTAACTTATATGTCACACAGTGCTACGTTTTTTTGTTTTCTATTAGGCGGAAGTTCTCCCTCGGCTTCTGTTCAACTCTCGTCCATAACACTCGTGTTCGATTGTCTCAGTATATCGCGGTGATCGTATGAATAATATTATTAGGTTTGACTTATGATATCTGTAGTTAAGCGTTGTGTCGTTAAGGATTTGATAAAGAATTTTATTAAAATATCATCTTTTTTCAATGGTTTACCTCTTCTTCTTCTTTTTTCTTGGCTTTCAATAACTGATCACCCAAATTCAATAAATTTTAATAGCAGTCACCTTTTTGGTTTCGATTGCTCTGCAACTGCAACTTTTTAAAAAAGAAGGAAACCAAAAAATAGAAACACAAATAAAGAAAGTTTTTGAATGCACGATATCACGATATGCACGACATTGTGTCTTACTATATAAGCACTTTTATGAAAAAAAGAAAAAGAAGCAAAAACAAAAAACTGTAGTATATTGAAAAATGGCATCAATGTCATCATGATATGAAAAAAAATTCTCGCAGGCATCTGGCAAGAAGCTTAACGACCGAAGCCCGTTTCCTTAAGACTTCTAGAGTTTACGCGTTTTAACTTGAAAACAAAAAACAAAAAAATAGTAATAAAAATAATTGCCGGTTACACCTTTTTGAATTTCATTCAATGTATTCATTTTCATTTTCTAAAGTGAAAACACGAACGAATCATTCCCCATCTTACGGAGAGCGCGATATTCATTAGTAGCGATATTAACAAAAAATATTTACGAGATCTTTGTCGTAACTACCTGCAATTAGAGAATACTTTCGTCGCTTAGCATTTTGCAAATGAGTAACTTTCTTATATAATGTCCGTAGCCAGTAATGGACTCGAAAGATAAGCGAAACACAACAAACAATGTATTCGGATGCCGCCTGTAATGTCCAATGTTTTGCATTAAACACTAGTTTTTGAAAAATCACACATATTAGGACCGAAGTACGTAAAGTATACCTTTAACACTTTAATTCAGAATAAACAAAATATACAACGAAGATCTTCTTTCCCAATCTTATATTGCATGCTTGCACACAATGCATATAGAAGAAGACACACCTACCTCAATAAGAGATATGCATTAATTAAATTTCTTATGCTCTCAAGATCATACTGCGTCAGCCAATAAGGTTACGCTGACGGAGAAACTGTTTGATGATAGAAAATAATTCTACTACTAACTAGAATGAAAGAGATACACGCATATACACTTAGCTTGAAGACCAAAGAGTGAAAAGATCCACTATTTCGGGTAAGTTGTATGAAGATCTACAGAATATAGATATATTTATATATATATATGTATCTATGTATACATATATGAATACAAAATAATTCTTTTGATTTTATTTTTTGATTGGAGGTTGACGTCGAGTTGGTTGCACATGTGGGTGTATAAGCGTGTGCGTGGTGTAAAAAGCAAAAAAAAAAAAAAAAAAAAAAAAAAAAAAAAAAAAAAAAAAAAAAAACAAGAAAACAAGAAAACAAGAAAACAAAAGGTAAATAAGAGATACGAGAATTATCCTAGCTTGTGTGTAACACGTATATGTATGTATATATATGGATATGTATGTTTTAATTTACAGATGCGTAAATGTAGAATAATTAAAAGCAAAAATAGATGATGGTGATGGTTTGGGTTTTATTTGAAAATAATTTCAGTAGTCAGTTGTCTTTAGTGTGGTTTAGTGTATTGTGAAAATAAATTAAATTAATTAACTTAATTGTTGTTTTCGCTAATTCAATTATCTGTCCTGTTTGCCTGGTTGCTGCTCTTCGCTGCAAAACAAGAGAGAAAGGAAAAACGAAAAACAAAAAAACAAAAGTGAAAAAAGTAAAAAAAAAAAATAAAAATAAAAAAACACAACGACATCAGTAAAATGGAAAGTAAAGGAATATAATACTTTATATATATATATATATATATATATACATATTGACACAAATAACAACACTAAAAACGAATATTTAATGCAATAATCGTCTAAATTAAACAGCGCCGGCATTTGTACATACATAGATAATCCTTAAAAAATTTAATGGTCGGTTTTCTTATTTTTATTTTTTATTTTTTATTTTTATTTTTTTTTAATGTCATCGAGCCGCTTAATCGCTTATGTACATGCAGTTAAAAGATACACTGCTGTGTGCTATAGTGTGTCGCTGCCAATAGATTTGTACAAATGTTACTCTGACAATTTTCTTAATTAATTGATACGTAATTGAATTATTTCGAGAGAAATACTAGAGACTAATTTGTTAGTTCTCAACACCAGGCCAGTGATTTATTTACAGAATTTAATTTAATTGAATTGTTAAGCATAGCAAAAATGCTTAATTATCAGCAACATGCAACAGCTGAGCAGCAAATATCGAACGTTGCAAATACTGGTAGCGGAGGCGGTGGCAATACTAAGCCATTAAATTCTGATTCCACCATATCGGCGACAACGGCTGAACCGAATAATAATTTCCCTTTGAATTTTTATCCAGTTCAAGCACAAGCACGCACAACAATATTACAAACGCATATTAACACTGTAAACGGCATCAGTGCACCCTCGGCCAGTATCTCTTTGGAGCATTTGCATACTCTGGCACGTCAACACAGTGCCAATAATAATGGTATCGTCAACCATAACAATAATAATAATAATAATAACAACAACAACAATAACAGCTGCAATGATAATAATTATGCAACCTTGTCGTCTGCGTATCCAAATCAAATTTGCTCAGAATTGTCGGCAAAACTTACGAATGCCAGCAATACAACAATTACTTCGAGGGAGGATATCGCAACCACAGAAGTTGCGAATAGTGCACCAGCAACAACAACAGCAACATTTTTAATTGAAAAAGGCTCCGAAAATGCCAAACGGTTTTCGGTTAACAATCTCCTAGAATTGGCTCAGGATTGCCATCAAATAGCAAGCAAATTACAAATACAACATCTTCACCATCAACATCAACATCAGCATAATCACGAACCGAGCCAACAGCAGTATCAGCAACGGACCAACAACAATAATAATAATAATAATAATCATCATCATCATCATCATCATCACCATCATAATCATCATAATCAGCATCAGCAACAAGCAACCATACCTCATGAGAGTAATTTACGTAAGTGTTTTACGGTTGGCTTATAAACAAAATTTTCCTCAAATGCATAAAAGCCTAAGCGATAGACAATTTCAATGAATTAATTAAGTTAGCGAAAATGTAAGTCCTATTTATTGTTAATGCAGCGTACAGGTCAGTAAAAGGACTACAGATATACATTAAATGGTACTTATGTGTGTGATGAACATTTCTTCTTATTTTGTTTTTCTTTTTTGTTATTAAAGTGAGCTCAGTTAACATAGCGTAAAATTAGTTAAGTAGAAATACGCACAACGGTTCGAAGGAGGAAAATATAAAATAATCACAATTCCGTTTTTGTGAAGCTTTTGCGACGTCGCTCAGCACGTACTTTAAGTACAATAAGGTACGTACGCTGAGGCCCTTTAGTTCGCAGAGCCAGAGACTCTCCTTGAAGAAGCCATCGCAGACGCTGGAAGCCTTCTGATCGTAAAATTCTGTCTAATCTATTACGCTACTATGGCTACTATGCGTGCGCATATTTCTTCTTAGGCATTAAAGATGCATAAAAAATTGTACGGATAATGTGCATACCAGAGCCTTGGTGTTGCGTAACGCGGATACCCGGAACGCAATGTAGTCCGAGCTATGTATAACACGGTTATCGAATAGAACATTCATAAAGTCATCCTGCGTAGAATAACTATACGCAGTTTTTACTGTTTGGAGTACGTCTGCCTGCGGGAGTTGCACGATAGCTACGGTTACGCCAAACATTAACATGTAGGCCGGTCTTGTTTGGACGGAAGGGCGTAGACAATACTTAAAATCTAATATGTGACACACTCCCGGCACACAAGAGTTCTGTAAAGGGTGCAGCATTGCCGGCTATCGCTTAAATTTGCCCCGCGTGTCATCTCGTTTCGTCTAATTTATGTCATTTATATCTCTCGATTGCCAAAATGATCATTTTTCCCCGCGCATCGGTAGTTATCGTTATATGTTTCAAGAACGAGCAAAGAAAAAAGAGAACTTAAGCTTTGGTAAGAGCGAGTATTGGCTTTAAGTTTTCCGTGCGCAGTTTCCTCCTTTCCATTCCACCAGAAATTGAGTAAACGGTTATTTTCAACTGCAACTTATTAACGATCGTACGGATCGACGAGTGATTGCGTTCCTTGTTAAGCGATATCCGCCCCTAAATTTATTTTGTTATTCCTTCAATTATTTAGCCATTGGGTGAAGGAAACTATGTACCAAATTTTTTATACTTATCTGTAGAACTCATCAAGTGAGTGAGGCGAAGATAAAGCCTTGGAAATGTTTAAGTTGACTTGGAGTCAAAATGCAGTAAGCTGTGAAACAGTTAGAAGATGGTTTTAGAAATTTCGTGCAAAATTTTGAAAATGATGAAAATTCGCGTACGTCCGTCCGTCTGTCTCCAGCAAAAGCAACCCGGGAAGTGTTCTTCAACGAGGTCTGAAAACATTGCCCGATCGCGGCGCATTCTGCAGACCTAACTCATTCTGATAACCATTAGTTCGGAAGAAGAAAAGCGATAGGTAGTGATGGCGATTATTTTAATTACCAATCTTGGTAACAAATGTGTTTTCAATAAACCTCAATTTATCATAAGACGTTAATTTTGAATTTGTCCACTGAATAAATTACGAGCTAATAGCAAGATCAGCCCAATGAAATATATTAATAGCGCACTTTAAAAGAAAATGTTTTCAGCGAAGGAAAACACACTTCCTGGCTCTTGCACAATACGATCGTCCTAAGCGATTACCTAGTTCACCACATGTGAATAAGTCAGCTATACGCAAGCGTTCGCATGTATATATACATATACAGTACTACGTAAGGTGAGGACGCCTCTGTTATTCAAAAGGAATAAAAAATAGGTCTTTACCCATTACTCATCAAATATGACAGAATTTGTGGCAAGGGTTTAACGTGGGTTCCTGCCTGTAAGGCTTAACCCCACGGTGGCCCAAACCACTTTTTAAGCGTACTACGCCCCCTGGCGAGTTAGACAATCCCCACAGAGTCGGGGGCCTAAACAGCACCAGAGTCCAGAATAGTTTATGGTGTATGGAACAATAAACCCCACTCTGGTGAATGGCGAGGCCTAGCTGCACTCAATTGTTCCATTTTAGCTAGGAACTCGCCAACCACAACCACCACGAGTACTCCCCGAAGGGCCGCGCCCAGTAGTCAGGACTCACCAATTGATCATCAAATATGACAGATAAATCTACGAAAATTTGAATGCATACTCGTTGGGCGTTGGAGTAGTGCTAATACCTCTACAATAAAGCAAAACATCAGCCACGCCTACTTATTTTTATAGTATGTCGTCATACTATTAGTTTTTCAGAACTTTATTTGATGCAGGGAAGGCAGCTTCAAGAACGCCATAAAGTGCGGAAATTCTTGGCCAGTTTCGAACTCGGAATGTACCTAAGCAGATCCGTCCGTTCATCTGTCTATCCGTCCGTCTGGTTAATAGTGTTGGAACTGTGGGTCAAAAAGGACCCAAGCTTTTTAAAGAACACGCCTACAACAAGCCCACACGTCGATATAACAAAAATGCATTCCTTGTTCGTTGCTTGTTAATCGTAGAGTACAACACACATACCACATAAATTTCCACTTTTATCCTGAAAATAGAAAAAATCAATCGCTTCCACCGAATATTATAAAGTAACTTAGCTCTTTTCCTTTTTCTTCTCAGCATCGCGGTGATGGATATAGAATATAGTTTTCTTACTTGTTTTTTCTTTTTTTTTTTTTAATATGACCAATAATCCAGGCGATGTCCTTTATACGTGTAATACAATGGCGGTGAAAAAGAACTGAGGAAAGAGGAAAGAGGAAAAGGTACGAGGTGGCCACAGTTTGTTGAGTGTGTGCTCAATCGATAAGTGTTATGCCTTTGCCGACAAAGCACTCACCATATGCATATAGTATGTGCAGGCGCTTTGCCTTTGACATTTGCGGCAAAGCGAAGGCTTAAAACGTTTCCTGTTTCCTTTAGATGGTCTCGGCGCAAGGAATAACATGTAAAATGAAACGTGCACTATTCAAGCATATGCTTGCAATTAAAATATTTATTATATATATATCTAGTCGGAACTTTTCAAGCAGCTTTCATAAGCTTGGTTAGATTGATTGGTTATATTACGACTGACGAACTTAAATGACATTGAAATGTCCAATTCCTCAACTATTCCGGTTTAATTATTGCCAATGAATGTCAATGCAACACAAATTAAGAATACAATAATTAAAAGGACTGTCTGATAAGTATATATGTATTTAAAATCAGATCCCATCAATAACGGTAAATTATTTACTGATTTCGTGCTTGTAACGTAACAAGAGCACAACGAATGTTTCGACAGACACTATACAATTTAAACACTAAGCTCTTACTTTCTTTAGTTTCCCATATCCATTTCTCTATACGTTGTGGGTGGACAGCGAGAGACCGAAGTAGGAAAGTCTTATGATATGAAAATATGTTGCCTATGCATAACAAGTATGAACATATTTTTAAAAAGCGTAAAAGAAATCTGTGTTTTTGGGATAGTGAAAAATTGTATTTTCCCTAAATACGTGGAAAAGAAAAATCATAGATTGCTTAGCGAAGCATTGAATATATGTTCAATTGATTTAATGTTCATCTCAATATACGATCAAGTGAGTTTCTATGCAAAAGCACGACGCACTTTATTGTTTTGATTATCATCGCATCAAGATTTTTATGTTTCGCATTTGGAAACAATCGCTGGCAATCGTTAGCTAAAATGCTCGCGAAGAAGATTTACTACTATTCATATATACACGAACGTAGATGGTTTTACGCAAGAAAGTCCTATGTTATATTGCACTTCGGGTGGCTGGTTGTAATTGCGGAGGAGGGATAATTTATGAAAGCAACTGATATTGATTGGTTTCACTATTTGTGAAGGGAACAGGAAAAGTTTCATTTAATATAAAGTGTAGCCTGCGCATGAGCAGTTGGGTAGGGTAAAGAGTAATGCGATTAAGAACTCAATGATCGCGGATTTAAATCTCAGGTGCGGTCGAGTTTTCAATACAGACGAGCATATGATCCAAGTTATCTGGCATCCTTCGAATTCGTGTGGACAATAAATAATCGAAAATGTTAAGTGTAATCTTCACTCCCAACTGCTATGGAGGCTGCTTTCTCGAAATCCTTTCCTTAAACGAAATATGAATTGGATTGGAGCAGTTTTTAACCCATACAATGAACGATTAATATTTAGCAAATTAATTAATTTAGCTCATTAAACAATTCTTCTTAAAGGATGTCCTACGATAGCAGAAATGAAGTGCCGATAATTATGCTTGTCACAATGACGGCTGAATAGATTAGTAAACTATTTGAGCGCAAATATTGTATACAATCATTTTGCGTTACCTTCACGATATGATAAGCTTTAAAGGAAAACGTATTTCATTTGTTATATCAAGTCAAATATGGGGCGGGGATTAAGTTTAAGGTAAATGCCAAGAAAGCAAGAGATGCAGTTAGTTAGTTGGTAAGCATGATAAGTGAAAGTTTGGTTTCACTTTCGTATCGCATGCTCAAATTATGTATTTTATGCATTCAAGTGATTAATTAAAGTAAGTAATTATAGACTTATCTGGAAATGCATGGCATACAGTGGGTTTGTTAGTATAATTCACTTAAATTAATTTTGCTCAATAGAATGAGAATATCGTATTTGTCGTGCGGCTAGATTGAATAGCAACTTTTGCTTGTATTTATCATAGGCACACGCATACGATATATCTATATATATATATATATATATATATGTATATAGAATATATGCATTATGTGCATGAGCAAAACGAAGAGGAGATAGGATAGATATCATTTTAAAGGAATATGTCAAATATTTTTGTGGTTTACTGCGCGACAATTCCGACATACAAGCAACATGACATTAAGTTAATTTGTGTTGACAGTGGCGGCTGCATGCACACACACACACACACACACACAC